CTTTCACTGTCCTAATGAAAGCAAGAATGCGTATTTTAGAAGTCAATTCCAATATTACGAAAATTTTGAATAACGAAAAAGAGGATTATGGACGCCTCTTGGTTGTTTAACTTACCTCTTAGGTGTAGAGGACGTATTCTTTCATTCTATGCCTTAATATTAAGAGATATATAAGCAGTAATCTTCCAATGTAATCAATTACAGATATTAGGTGCTAAATAGGCCTTTGAGTTGCAATATCGTGCTGTGCTTGGTTCTGGCAAATTCTTAAATAATTAAATTTGTTTCAGACCTTTCCCTGAGGTAACTAGGCCTAGTTTAAGTGATTGGAGACGTCCGTTCAGTAATACTAATACCAGGTCAGTTTCATTTATTTCAACTCACATCATTATATGTCTTAATTTTTTATATTAAATTTTATTTTCATGAAGAAACCACTTCTATTCCAAGTGGGTAATTTAAAGGCAGAGTTTAGTGCAATCATTATGACAATAGTAGGGTAGATCGTTGTAGTTTGACAAGGTTTTAAAATAAATTTGCAAAAATTAAAGGTTGAATGGCTCTCGTTGCTTATACATCTTCCTTTTATTAATTATTTATGCCTTAACTGAAATGAAAACCAGCGATTTTGAGATTAAAAGACAAATTGACTTTCCTTTTGGTCTTCCCATTAAGCGATAAATTCTACCATCATATATCATTCACTATATAATATATATCAATGCCAATTTATTCGTATGAGCGACTCTCTGCTTTATATCGCAACGTTCGTTAGTTCAACTTCTTTGAGTTGATGCGCAAATTCATGTCTGTCTTATTCATGCATTCATTCGATTTGGACGACCGCTATAATTTCTTATCGAGTTGTTCAATATGAATTCAGGTTGATTCGCATTGTCTTTATTATCCAGCCGAGTTAGTATGAAATTAAAGCGATAAGATCTACAACTTTGACACAACTGACATGTCACATGCTTAGCTATGACCTAGCTTTAATGATGTCAAGACACCAAACCCTACAGTGTTGGCAAGAAAAGTCACACGAGCAAATATTTTTCCTTACTTTGTATGCGC